GAACCGGTCAGGGTTCGGTTCCTAGGTCAAACTGTCTGACTATTCGAACTGAATGACCAGCCCGTTCTAACAAAAAAAATAAAAAAAAATGGTCAAAACTGTTGAATGGTTTGAACAATTCAATCACCCAGGTCAATGGTTTACTGACCAAATCAACATTTTTTGGCAAATGTCTGGTTTTGGGAAAAAATGGAACTGATCACGTGACCGATTCCCGATTTTTTAGGTTCGACCATCTAATTTTGAAAACCATATTGACAACATTATGAAAGGGAACGGAACTTAAACCTAGTCAAGACTACCCAAGCTGAACTTAGGCTTGTTCAGTAAATGAGCATAACTTTGGCTTTATTCAAGAATGAACCAAGATTAGGGTTACAAATTGTATCTATCTATTTGAATTCAAACTCAAATTCCATATGGTTAAAGGTGATCTGGGTTGATCTGTTTGTAATTGAACCAGGTAAGATTTTATCCATATCTGATTTGATAAAATCCCATGCAATTTGATTTAAATGTATATATAGCAAGACAGTCCATGTCACTATGCCTTTCCTTGCTCCAGTCCCCCTTTCCTAATTTTCTGTTTTTTTTTTTTAATTTCACATAATTACCCATTAAAGCAATAAGGAAATAACATAGGCTTAACTATTTTAACAACCATAAAGAAAAAGGGATTTGCTTTTCTAATGTTTAGCCAAGTAGCACCACTTTTCCCCACTTTCTCCTAAATGGTCTCTAATTCCTTTTTATCTCCTAAAATATCTCTAACTCCTATTTATCTCTTAAATTATCTCTAATTTAGTAGAGAGATTCCCTCCCAAACTATTTCTAATTCCTATTTAACCTCTCCCCCACATTTATCTACATCTATCTAAAGAAAGTTTCAATTAAAAAAAATAGAATTATTTAAATATTATAACAAAATTATATACTAACTTAAAATATGGATAAAATACAAAAACCTCCCTTGAAGTTTTTGACAATCATAAAAACCTCCCCTATAGTTTCATTTTAACAAATACCTCCCCTAAACTTTTGAGAAACTCAACAAAAACCTCTTTTCCGTCACTATCTCAGACAGAAAACGTTAGATTGATGTACCAGTTTTTTTCCAAATACCCATTCTACCCTTTTATAAATTATTTTACATACAAAATTACTGAATATGTTTTTTTGTTGAGTTAAAATGGGATTGTTTCAGTAATTTTGTATGTAAAGTAATTTATAAAAGGGTATAATGAATATTTGGAAAAACCGGTGCATCAATCTAATGTTTTCCGTTTGGGATAGTGACGGAAGGGAGGTTTTTGTTGAGTTTCTCAAAAGTTCAAGGGAGGTATTTATTAAAATGAAACTATAGGGGAGGTTTTTATGATTGTCAGAAACTTCAGGGGAAGGTTTTGTATTTTACCATTAAAATATGTATTCAAAACATAAAATTTAATAGATTTAATAATATTCATATCATTAATAATTCTATATTTAAAAAAAAAAAACATCATGAAATTATGTAGTAACAATATAAATTATAATTTTGGGAATTATTCAATTTAAATGTTATTCAAATAATAAAAATTAACATTAAAAATAAAACATTATTTAAATATTTTAACAACTAAATATCTTAAATAACAAAACATTAAAATAGTTAAATAATTATATAACAATATATTTAATATTATGTAATAACATTAAAATAATAAAAATTTAAATATTTTACATATTATTTAAATATTTAAATAACAAAATATTTAACATGACTAAATTTTAAATAGTTAAAATACAGAGATTATGTAATAAATTAAAAAAATCTTAAAAGTAGAAAAATAATTATAATAGATTTCATAATGTTCATATTAATAATAAGTTAATATTTTACAAAATTAATGACGAATTATGTAATAATAGTACTAGTTATCATTTTATAGATTATTAAATTCAATAAATAATTAATATTTTAAAATTTTAAATATAATTATTATTTAAATAACTAAATAATATTATATATAACTAATTTCACTTATATCAATTAATAATAATAGAAAATAAATTTCAAAAAATAACATTTATTAGTAATAATTTTACAATAATAATGTATATTCATTATATGTTTATATATATACTAAAATTAATATTTATTTTATATTCAGTAATTATTTCATGTATTTTTTGATAAATATGTTTTCAATAATTATTTATAAATCTATTTTTGTTTTGTTATTTAACAATAAATTGTCAATAATTATTGGAGATTAAACAACTATTATTTAACTTTTGAAATTTAAAGTATCATATTTATTGTATTTTTGTTATAAATTTATTTTTAATAATTATTTAATTTTAATAATTTATTGATTAATATTTATTAGAGATTAAACTATTATTTAATATTACACTATTTATTGACTTATTTAATATATATATATATATGTTCAGTATTTATTGTATTTTTATTAGATATCTATTGTATTTTCATTATAAATTTATTTTCAATAATTGTGTATTTTTGCTATAAAATTTCAATAATTATTAGACATTAGACTATTAATTTAGCTGAAATTATGAGTGCTCAAGGATTAGTTCAATTTGGTTATAGGTTGTTTCGCCAACCAAATCGACTTGGTTAGGTTGGGAGTTTGTCACTCGAAACTGATTGACCATTAGTGAAAACCTGTCAACTCGGGTTGTATAAGTTTGGGTCTATTTTCGGTTTGATTTGTTTACTCAAAAGATTTAAACTTAAAAAATTAAATTTCAATTTAATAAATTCCAATTGTATTATTAAAAATTAAATTTATGATATAAAATATTTTAGACTAAGGGTCTGTTCATTTGTTATGAAGTCTAACATCTAAAAGTGCAATAATTACATTAATAGGTATATTGGTATTGATGAACTTTTCTTTCCTCTAAAATTTGAATGCAGAGAATGTTTGTTCTGAATTCTGAATTCTGAAAATTATCAAATATCCATTTTGACCCCATTATGAGAGTTTTTGTTTGTCTTTTTGGGGGTATCATTGGAAAACACAAAAAGTTGTATGATTGCACTTTAAGAAATAAGAGATAAGAGGTAATAAATACCTATTTTTCTCTTAAAGTTAAAAGATTCCTCTAAAGAGATAAGAGTTAAGAGGAAACGAACATGCCCTAAGAAATATAGGAATTTTCAAACTTTCTAGTATTAAATATGTATATTTAAAAAACAATATATATGTGGTCGGGCCGGTTCAATTTTAGTTGATTTACAAATGGTCAAATCAAAACTAACCTAACTTGATCGAGTTGGAAAATTGCTAAACCAAAGCCAATCGAAAATACTAGAAAATCAACCAACTCAGGTTGAGTTTGATAGGATTTGTTATTAGAAAGTTAAAATATAAAACAACTATATACTCCTATGTATTTCTATTATTTAACTTTCGCTTAACAAATCTTGTGCATTAGATAGGTCCTTGGTAATACTTATATATACTCAAAATTTATATGTTAAACGTTGTGTTTTTACCAAAGATTCATTGTCATTGGTTAAGTGTCATAAAATTTATTTCCAATATATTTTGTTAAAGATATATTATATTAAAGGTTTTTTTAGTTCATTTTATTAATGATCTACTATAAATGTGATTGATAAAATTGAGGGTTCAACTGTGATACTTGAAAGACATCATACCAAAAAAAAACTTGTAACCAATCAACCAACATCATAAAAGTGGTAATCAATTAGGTAGTGTTTTCAACATCGTTGACCTGATTGGTTGAACTGTTCGAACCATTACCTGGCCAAGATTCTAGGTCTGGTTCAATCAAGACCCGTCAGACAATAAAAAACTGTTGACTTGGTCAAGAACCACTCCATCCAACTAATCGAAACCGGTGACCTACAACCCAGAGGCAAATATGGTTCAACCTCCAGGTTGATTTTTAAAACATTACAATAAGTGGTTTTTCTTGAGCTTAGATCTTCTACCCACAAATAGGGGTGTCGATTGGACTAGATTTGGTTCAATCCAATCCAGTCCAATACGTGTCCGTTACAAATAGACCATGTCCAATCCAATGCAATGAATATTTTGGACCATTTTGGACTGGTCCAATTCAATGTCTGGACCATCCAATCTGTTTAAATTGGTTTTTAATTTAGATTTGTTCCAATCCAAACCTGGTCCATTGACACATATATTCTTATTTTATATCAGTGGATTGGATAATAGGAGCAATCTGACCCAATCCACTATAAATCCATAATAGATGAACCATCTAATCTAATCCAATAAATACTTTGAACCATTAAATCTGGATTGATCCAATTCAATATACCTTATTAGCAGTTATTAGTCTGTCCAATTCGTCCAAATTGATGAACGGGGTCCGATCCAAAATAAATATTAACACCTTACGAGACACTATAGGCATGTGTAACGAATATCTCTATTATCATTTATTTGAAATGTTCTCAAGTATAATTTGTCCTGTGGACATATTGTTCATGGGCCAAGCTTTGGGCTTAACTTTACACTATTACGAGTTCGGCATTCAAGTTTGGCCCACTCCTATTTTAACAAAAGCTAAGCCGCCGAAGTATAGGCCATGAATATTTCCATCTATTGGTAGGGTTGTGAGAAAAGTTTTTATATAGGGATATCGGAAATGAGTTTTTTTTTTTTTTTTTTTACCATATTCGCTGGGGTTTAATTGGTCAAAGCCCTTCTACTATCATATCTTTCTGCAGCATAGATTTTTCCTAAGATATGATTTTAATCCGAATATAAAGAATCAGATTCGGATTTATTTATGTAATACATGAATGGATTAGCTGAATGCTTTGACTGTTCAACTGGCTGTAAACTCTTTGCTGAATCACGAATTATTACTGTCGTGATTCTCGTAAAATCTCATAATTAGTTCCACAGAGTGCTGAACAGCGAAAGCGTTCATCTAAACATTGAATACACACATGAAACGAAACAAATGGATTTACCTTATATCCGATTTGATCCGGTTCGGATGCAGTTTTGCCTTTTGGCCCTAGCTGTATTTTATTTCTTTTTCTGATTTTTATATTTATATTAACTCGGATCGGGTTAAGTCGAATTTCCCTGTTTTAAGGCACCTCTGGCTCTGTAATTTTTCATTGATACAATGGAGTTCTGGTTTTAAATGATGCGGTTGCTTCCGTTTACTACAGGATGTGCGACTTTCTCTCCCTCCGTCGTCGGAACGAAGACGAAATTGTGACAGGTATAGTCTTTCTGTCTTCTAGTCTTCTAAACTGCAACTTAAGAAAGAAATACTGGCCTTACTCGGCTTGTTTTAATAGTTCAGAATCACCGGCGTGTATTTTTAGCTAAATTTGACAATTTTCCCTCCTGAAAGGCCGAAACAGGTACCATGGCGATGCTCTTTACAGGCTCTCTCTTAATCACGCCTACCCTCGCAAGGAACTCTACCCTCTTCACCTTCTTCACCAAAACATCATTTCTCTTGTTTGGGCAAAAGAGTCATGCTTACAGTACTCACCCCCATTACTCATCTCTTATCTCTCTCAAATCCATTATCACCAGCAAAAATAAGAGCTTCTCTATGAACAAGAGAACCCAACTCTCTACTTCGGTCCATTCTGCAACAATACCCACTGATGAATCTTCAACACCCACCACCACTGTGCTTTCCAACAAAGCACGGAAGAAGGCCCATCGAGAGTCTCCTGAAGGCTTGCTTCGGTTAAATCTCGATATGTGCTCAAAGCGTGGTGACCTTGTTGAAGCCCTTCGCCTTTATGATGATGCTCGAAGTAATGGGATACCACTCAATCAACATCATTACAATGTTCTACTTTACCTGTGTTCTTCTTCTCAGACTTCTTCGGTTGAATCCAGTGGTGTCAGGAATGAAGAGGGCAGCTTGCATTTGGGTCTAAGAAGGGGTTTTGAGATTTTTCAGCAAATGGGTATTGATGGAATTACTCCAAATGAGGCTACCTTTACTAGTGCTGCGAGATTGGCGGCTGCAATGGAAGACCCGGAGATGGCTTTTGATTTGATTAAGAAGATGACAAGTTTTGATATTCCGCCAAAGTTAAGGTCGTATGGGCCGGCGTTATTTGGGTTCTGTAAGAAGGGGGAAGCCGATAAAGCTTATGAGGTTGATGCTCACATGGTGGCGTCTGGGGTGTCGGCCGAAGAGACAGAGCTTGCTGCCTTGTTACAGCTTAGTGCGAATGCAGCGAGAGGGGATAGGGTGTATGAAATACTTCATCGGTTGCGAGCGACTGTGAGGCAAGTTTCGGAATCGACAGCTGAAATTCTGGAGAGCTGGTTTAAGTCTGATGCTGCTGCGGAGGTTGGAGAGGAGAATTGGGATGTGGAGAAGGTGAAGGAAGGTGTTGTTAAGGGTGGAGGTGGGTGGCATGGGCAGGGGTGGTTGGGGAAGGGGAAGTGGGAAGTAGTCAGAACTGAGATGGATGAGAAGGGTACTTGTCATTCTTGTGGGGAGAGACTTGTTTCTATCGACATTGATCCTTTGGAGACAGAAAACTTTGCTAGTTCGTTATCCAACTTGGCTTGCCAGAGGGAGGTTAAGGCTGATTTCAATAGCTTTCAGGTATTAATATTTTTATTTTCCTTTTCTTTTTTGTTAGTCTTACCTTAAATTTCAGGCTTTGAAGAATTTTGTTTGTTTTGATTAACCATGTAATTCAGATATGCTTTTAGTTTTTCTCTTTCTTTTTATCATGCAACTATATTTTCCTACTGTTTTGGGATTTGGAAAGAACAATATTTAGGTTTTATTCCAATAATTGAAAAAAAGGCTATTATCCTGTTGGTTTCCGCAATTCAGGGTCTTTGGAAAGTGGACTGGATATGGTCCTAACCTTTGGCATTTTTTTTTGCACAAAATGGCTGCTCCCAGACTTCAACCTGCATTCTCAAACTTGCCAACCTGAGATTTTACCATCGCACCAAGCAATGTTCCTTTTATAGCAACAATTGAAAAGTTAAATAATTTTGGAAGTCATTTTTACAGTGTTCTAATTAGTAAGAATGGTTATGGATGAATCTGTAGAAGTGGTTTTGCAAGATTGAGTGGCTATATTGCTAATAAAAAAAATCAATCCTTTTGGATCCCATGTTTTTGTTGTCATGTTGCTATCTATCTATATATAAAATGCTTATTTGAGGAAATAGTTATATAGAACATTATTAAGTGTTGGCATCTTTCAAGGCATATGGGATGGATACTTTGCCATTTTCTCTTTCTTTATTGGGTGGTTACTTCAACTTTTTCTTGATGAGAAGATTTTTTTTCTCAATGTATCTTTCTATCCTTCAGAAAGCATGAGCAAATTCTTGAGCTACAAGTGCAAAAGAGATGTGCTTATGAAATAGTGAATTGTGATTTGAAGTACTTTCATACTGCGTTGTATTTCTTGGGATTTAAGGGTTAAGGTCATTACCCAATGCTCCTCCCAGCTCTCTGAGGTCTTAGGAAGGGTGGACTGGATACTAACTTTTGGCATTTTTGGCACAAAGTGGCCACTCTCAGACTTGGACCCACATTCTAACACTTGACAGCCCAATATTTTACCATTACATCATTATATTTCTTGGGATTTCAGGTTGAAAAATGTGAGTATTGGAGAAGCTGGAAGTTTGCATGCATCTCATATATTTTTCATTTCTGGTGTTAGTAAATGGATTATCTACAGAATTTTTCCAAGCATCCAGAGGTCTACAACTAGGAGACATCGCTTCTCCTTTTCTTATTATGCTGGTTGTTGATTTTTCTTGTGTCTCATCTATTGAAGTCTAGTTGTTGATTTTGGAAGCCAGCTTGGTTATGGTCTTCCATAATTGCCAAAAAAAAATGCTATAAGGGTTGAAAAAAAACTCTTCTGATGGTTGTTCCTTGATGATGATTTGTTGGGTAATGGTGATGCGGGATCTGGACGCTCCCTCGTGTGTTATGACTCAGACTCAGACTGTGTGTCAATCTGGTTGGGCCAAGCTGATGTCTGTTTGTCCGAGATAAGATGAGCTGCAAGGAAAGAAGGGTGAGAGTGCCCGGGTAGGTTTTACCCGGGGAGAACACTCCAATGCTGAAGTCAAAAAGATGGTATGGGAGTCTCTTGTGAGTGTGAGAGAGCTTGAGTGTATCAGTGCGCATACCTTTCTAGGTGGATCTAGACGTCTTATATAGGCCCCTGGATTCAGGGGGCTCATGGTAATTGTTTTCAGCTCTTTGTGGAGTTGTTTCCCTATTTTCAGGCAGATTAAGGTGTCAGTCGAGAGATTTTTGCGGGAGTTATGATTCGTTCACGTAGAATCTAGCGTACGACACAGTAAGTCATTCTAATGGTCGCGCTATCGGCGCTTTTGGTAGCAAGCTGCTGGGGATGGTCGCCTTAGGTCCTCTCAACTCGGCCGACTCCTAGAACAGGTTGCCGTAATCTTACGGGTCTGCCAGCTTGGCCTTGCTGAAATGGAACTGTAGGGGTGGTTAGCGAGCTCTCCATAGCAGGTCGCCTTAAGTCCCTACAGTTCGATCGACTCCTAGGACAGCTCACCATAATCCTACGGGGTCAGCTAGTTCGGCCTCGCCGAGGTCGAGGTCGGCCTGGGTGAGATGCTTCGAGCTAATTTTACTGAGGTAGCTCGCTGACTTGGCGCTGAGGCGCCATCCAGAACAAGGTTCAAAGTATCGACACATATTGGCCTGTATCGGCCGATACGTATCGTTCCGAGACCCTTCCGATATACCCCTACAGTGGGTGTATCGAGGGTCTGACCGGTTCAAGGGGTGGAGCAGCCCTAAACCGACCCCCCCCTGAACCAGTTTTGGAAAAAAAAAAAAGTAAAAAACAAGGTATCGATTCGCCCGATATGCCCCTATTGGCGTATCGGGCGTATCGATATTTTGAACCTTGATCCAAAAGCCTGTAGTATATGCTTTTCTTCAGATTTCAGTCTTTGTACATATTTAAAACGTAAACAAAAAGGAGAGAAAAAAATAGAAATTATATATATATATATATATATATATATATATATATATATGGTGGGAGTAGCTGTTCTTGTTGGGTTTGGTTGATTGGGTAATTGGGGTGAACAGGTGGTAGGAGAGGAGAGGAGTGGGCCACTTTTGGTAGAGGGTTGATTCCTATAGGGTGTTGATGGAATGTGGGAGGGATGACGGGATGAGTATGGTGGATGAAAGTTCAAAAGATGAATTTTATACACCACCTATTTTGTACATAACGAATTTGGTTGCTACTCTGTTAGATAGTACTACTAATGCTTGACCTTATTTGTGTCCAAAAAAAACCTTGATCCAGAAGCCACGTGTCGCTGTATGATTGGGAGGACCAAGTTACCCCTCATCAGGTAACACTTTGGGTATTTCATTTTTTATTTTTATTTTGAAAAAGGTAAGGTAACTTTAGAGATTTGAAGTATTGACTCTTGACTTAACTCTTGCACTTTCTACCACAAGGCCATCCACAAAGCAAATGATCACCAATCAATACGTTTTTGGCATAAAGGAAGTTTGAGGCTGATAACCTATAGAGATTTAACCCGTGGAGTACAGCCAACAGTTCTGCTCTAATCTAATTACATACCCTACGGGTCCAGAATGTAATGCTTAAATTGTGCTATTGTTGCCTCTGAGAACACCCTTATGTCTTAACTTCCTAGGTTTCCCATGCTACTCCCATCAAAATTCAGCTTGATCTTATTGGCTGAACTGTCAAGAAAGGGTTAAAGATGTTATATACTCAATCAATGTTATTGGCTGGAGAGGGGAGACCAATGTGCATGTGTCAAAATGCCAAATGAGCTGTCAAGAAAGGGTTAAAGATGTTATATACTCAATCAATGTTTCTCGTGAATGAATTGCTTCCTTATTCTTGCATTCTTTTCCCCCAAGTCATTCACTTCCATATTCTTGTGTTCCTTTCTCCCAAAACTAACTAAAGGATAGCAGCTCTTGTGCATGTAGCCATGTGCAGTATTTTTCCTCTCCCAAAACTGACAAAAGGATTGCCATAAGCCACATGATATGGCTGGAACATCCACTACTAAAGGTATTACCACTCTTTGTTGGTCTTCACTGGAGAGTGATTTCATTAAATCAAATTTTGATGGCAGCAGTGTGGAAAACCCAGGGAGCTCAGGAGTTGGTGGAAGTTTTAGAAATGAAGATTTCCATTTCACTGCTGTTTTTTTGGACCCAACTGGTGTAGGTATTAAGGGCTTAAGTCATGGGCTTGATGGAAGGAGTGCAATGAGCAAGAAGTTTGATTACTAAAAATGGTAATAATTAAAGGGGATTTCAAATTGATGCTGGCATGGTTTCTAAGTAGGGAGACAAAGATTTGGGAGTATAGGAATGAGTTAAAGAAGTTTAGGTGGTTGACTAAAGACAAAGAAGTAAGATTTTTTTTTTTTTGAAAAAGGCAAAGTATAAAGACAAAGAAGTAAGATTTCAATGGATAAAATGGACAACTGATAATGTAACTGATTCTTTGGCTAAACAAGGGGTGGGGAGGGATCAAATGTTTTGAGCACAATTGTAAGAAAATGAAAGGGGAGAGATAAGAGGTTTTGTTTCTGTTTGTTTGATTGTACTTATATATATATATATATATATTCTTCCTTAATTAATAAATTGCATGGTTATTGATCAGAAAAAAAGGTGTACAGACACATGATAATGCTATTAATTTGCAAAGAAGTAAAACCATATTTGGTTGATACCTTGTGCAAATAACTTCCTTATTTTTTGGGCTCAGAATTTTAAGTTCTATCTCAAAATTCCACATGTCTTAGCAAATGAACTCAATCTTTTGTTAAATAGAAGAGAATGCTGTCATGGCTTATAATGTTGTCATTGATAATGTGTTTCACTATCTTAGTGGTTGGCCAATGCTTTCTCCTTCTCTATGCTTGAGGCAACTTCTGCATATAAAGATTGTCAATCAAATCTTGTCTAATTTAGAAGTTAACTCAATTCAGGAGTGGCTTTGCCAGCATGGACCATTTGATGCTGTTATAGATGGTGCCAATGTGGGTCTAATCAATCAGCATAATTTCAGCTTTTTCCAGGTGAGATTCTGAAGGTAATTTCTAGAAAGACTGGTAGTTTTGCATATTCTTTGAAGTGTTAGATACATGAGTTCTGAATGTGATAATTCTGGGGCAGCTAAATTCTGTTGTTAATCGTATTCGCCAAATAAGTCCATCAAAACGCATGCCACTTATTGTTTTGCACAGTCGTCGAGTGAAGGATGGTCCTGCACAGAACCCAAATAATAAGAAGTTGTTAGAAAACTGGAAGAAGTCTGGTGCACTCTATGCTACCCCTTCTGGATCAAATGATGATTGGTAAAACCTCTTTCATTAACTTGGAAAAAGTTTCTTGTTTAAACTATAAGCCATAACGTTTTTAGTCCTTAACAATGTTTATTACCCAATCTGCTTCACCAATGGTCCATGAAATTTAGCCATATAAATAAAATCCTGAACTACTACATGCTTAAATATATTTTCCTTAGTTATATTTTCAACCTCATATTGCCTATGTTCTAGTTATGCATTTTCTCTGAACTATATTCGATCTCCCTCTGAGCAAATCCTTTAGGCTCAGTTTGGGAAGAGTACAAGCACAAGCAAGTAAACTGCAAATACAATGTTTAGAAATACAATATAGAAGGTTTTGCATTGTACATATTTGCATTTGTACTCTTCCCAAACTGAGCCTTAAGGAGAAAAGTTGTGAGATATAATTCTGTAACTTAAAGAGCTTTTCTTGTTTATTTATTTAATTTTGGATCAGTAACCAATAGTGCTTATTCACAACTAAGGATCTTTGCTGCTAGGTCCTATGTATGATCTTTAAGCACACTATTTGGTTGTATAATTCTTGTGGCCATCTTTGTCGTTTTGTATCTGAAAGGTTTCTCCAAATATAACACTGTTTGGTTGTATAATTCTTGTGGCCTATCTTTGTTGTTTTCAATATAGGATTTAGTTGTCTGTGCAAACCGGTATTACACGAACATGAGCACAGGAATCAGAACTCAATGCATGTTTAGGAGTCATGACTCAGAAAGATGAAGAAATAAGGACTTGCAGACACATTTACAGAAAAGTATAAACTATTAAAATAGTTTGTATTTTGTTGAATTTTAACATTATAAACCTATAGAAAAAGGTCTAAAAGATCACTTTTATTAATTCTACATTAGCTATTTATTTATGTTGAATAAACAAGGAGAAAAAAGGAAAATGTCCATGCAACACTGGTACAAACTCTCTTCACTGGATTTACATGCTGGCGTGTATCACTGTCAAAACAGTCTAGAATTTAGTATTCAGCCTTTACCTAAGGTTTGTTTGCATAACCCATGTAGGAGGTACGGGGTGGTATTTTGTGATTCTAGCTCATTATATTGATATTCATGTTTTGGCACCTTTACAATTTCATCAATAAAGATCTGCTGTCCTGTTTTGGTTGATTGGTTTTTCAAGTTTGTAAGTTCAAATTCCTTTGTCGACTTTCTCTGAATACTGGTTTGTCCAATTAATGTTCCTGCTTTGGCAACAGTCTCCTATTCCTTTAACTTCCTTTGTTCTTGAGTTGGGTCATTTCTTCAGCTTGGAATCCTACTTTTGGTTGTTGTTTCTTGCCTAATACAAGCTTTCTTTGTAGTTATTTTTTGATCTTGGAATCTTGCTTTTGGTCATTGTTTCCTTGCCTAATTCAAAATTCCTTTGTAGTTATTTTCTGGTATTTGATCTCTCCGTGGGTGCAACTTGTGATATGCTTTAGGTCCTACTTGTCATAATATCTATACACCATTGTAGCTCAGTGATCTTGTAATGTAAGAGAAAGAGAAACCCACTTCTGAAGCCGAGGTCTTCAATTCAGCCATAGATGCGATTAGGAGCTGGTTGTCAATACATACTGAATTCAAAGATGTTACTTCTGATCATACTTTTTTGAGAGTGGACTTTTTTTGAGATCCTTTTTGTACAGTTAGTCGTATACAGGACCAGTTATTAATATAATCATACTTTACCTTCTTTCAAAAAAAAAAAAGTAAGAGAAAGAGAAAAACTTTGTTTCACAAAGAGGAATCAAGAAGAGTTGCCACCAGGGCACCAACTAAATAGGTGTAGTTGGTTACCAATAAGAGACCATTATTGCTTCCTGCTGAAGGCATTAGGCACATTGGGGCTGCCTAAATAAAAGTAAAAGACTCCTTGGACAAGTATAGGCACTTGATCTTGTTGAACCTACTTAGAGGTCCAGCTTGCATGACTATTGTATCAAAGAATGACGAAGATTAGGGGTGCAGCTTGGGTTGGTCTTGGCCCTGGCCCACTCAAATTTTGACTAAAGCCCAACTCAAGCCTGCCCAAGTTGCACCCCTGATGAAGATGGCATATGGAAAAGAGGAAAAGAATTTTCAATATGATGTCATGGGAAACTACTAAAAATGTTCACGATATATGACATAAGATGGATATTAGAAAGAAAAGAGAAAGTAGAGAAAAAGGAAATGAAGTCATACTATTGGCTCAGGGGGTCCCATTCCTTGTAAAATGAATAATAACAGGCAATGGGTGGCTGATTAAAAAAATTAATAGGCAATGGGTGGCTGATAAAAAAAAAAAAAACTAATAGGCAATGGGTGCCCAATAATCATCATTACCAATAATAGAAATTAAATATAAAGAAAGAGGTTAACCTATCAAAACATCTTGGATAAAACACATATAAGACTTTCATCTTATGAGGTATAGGTTCAAACTATAGAGCTTCCTTGAAAATAATTAACATGGCTGACATGCTCCAACTGAGGACCAAATTATGTTTGCATTTTCTGTTTGATGAGTGGAGAGAATGTAATTCACCTCTTTCTCGAGTGTCCTTTTGTCTCAGTTTGGAAAGAGTACAAATACAAATATGTACAGTACAAATACATACAAAATAATACAAAATATGAGGTTTTGCACTCTACATATTTGTATTTGTACTCCTTCCAAACTGAGCCCTCACTACAAAGGTATGAAGCTACTATTTAAACCTTTTTAGTGTTGCTTGGTCTGCCCCCTTCTGAAGTGGTTGAGCTGTTTTTTCTCCAATTTCTTCCTATGAATACAAAAAGAGGGAAGATTCTATGGCACTTTATGAGGGCAGGAATTCTATGGAGTGCTTGAGGTGAGAGGAATTCCATGTTTTTTGAAAACAAAAGTCAAAATACTGAAGGTATTAGACTTTTGTCTGATAGGGGTAGCATGACGGTTGTAGACTATAGAGGAGTTTTGAGGAGTTCCAATTGCTTTGATTCTAAGATTACGAGGGTAACTTGCAGAGGCTAGCTGTCCTCAAAGATTAGTCAGTTCCAAGCTATGGGTCACACCTGAACAAGGACCTACGTTTAACTGAATTTTGACTGCAGCTCTCTTGGGAATCCAGGCTAATCTGGTATAGGAGTTTACAGAGATCACAAGAGCGACATGTTATTAAGCTATTCAGGTCCAGATGGATTGGGAAACTCTTGAAGGGTGGAACTGTTAGCACTTATTCAATGATTTAGATTGCATGGGTTAAGCTTGAGTTATTTGGGCATTCAAGGAGATTGCCAAGTGTGGTCAGTTGATTTCTCTTGAAGGATGAAGAAGAACCTTGATGCTTTTAGATCCTGAATCAGAGAAGCAACAACTCTATCTTCCTATTCTGTATTCCAATCTGAACTGCTTGTTCAGTTGGATTCCAGATCTGCTAGCAGCATGGCAGATAGAGTAGCCAAGATGAGGTCAACAAGAGAACTGGAATAGGGAGTTCCAGAGCAAGGGGGAAATCTTTTGTTGTTTTATACTTTGGACTATATGGTGCTATCAGCCAATGGATTTTTTTTTTGTTTGATAAATTATCAGCCAATGGATGTTCGATTGCCATTCATAGAAAAAATGGATGTTCGATTGTTTCCATCTTATTTCTCTAAGTATCTTGGAGAGTAGCGCTGCATTGTATATATTATCTCTTTCAATAAAATTTTACTATTAATGATTACAAAATTCTTGGATAAAATATAGTTGAATGTAGATTGCAACAAAATTTTAGAATGGGATTTCTTTACCATGATAACACTAGAAAGATATCAGAAAGAAATCAAAGATTATGAAGGAAACGAAAGGGGAATTCCTACCTAAGTATGTATCCTCCAAGGCACTAAAAAGTTCAGAACACATCAAAGATGGTTGAAACTGAAAGAGAACCCGAAGGGGGGTTTCTTCACCTTAAGATATTGGTCCAACTCTTTCATAGAAAAGAAAACATAAATGGAATGAGGTTATAAGATTCTAAAAGTTAGGGAATAAAAATAAATATTAGGGGGTTCATATTCTAAATAAACATCCACTCTTTATTAAAATAAAAAAAATGGTATTTTTTTAAGCAAAAGTTGTTCTATGAAGGGGCCATTGCTTGGTGTAGTGGTAAAACTTTGATTTGACAAGTGCGAGAATGTGGGTTCAAGTCTGAGAGTAGCTATTGGTGCAAAAAAGAAATGCAAACCCCAGATAGATGGGACAAACATTGAGTAATGGCCTTTTTTGACAAAGTTGTCATGAGACTCGTGGGGATTGAGTCCTTGCCCCAGTCAGCTCTTTAATGCTGGTCACACCGGAACTCAACGGGACTTCTGTTTTATTGAGTAACCTGTCTGGAGTCCTCCTATCATCTCTGGATGGTCTTGTCCCCAGAGCTATGCTCCCCATATCCATGGATTCACCAAATTTTAGTTTTGATTGGTTGTTCTATCCAGAATCAATCCTAGGCCAGTCTGGATGGTGGAGTCCTTCTTGGACCTATTGGAACATCCTTTTGGACTTAAGTACAGTGGTGCTATTAGTATTGCTGACTAAGCAGATAGTAGGTGAGAGCTCTCCTAACAGGAACCTGCATGGAAAAGCAGCTTTGAATATCTTCTTTGGTCATTGAGGGTCGACTTGGCAAATAATATGACATATATCCTAACAATTTGGGCAAATCAGTTCAGATAAGATAGATCCTAATAGAGATGAACCTAGTGACAGCTGAACAAGCTAGATCTAGGGATGTGAAGGGTCTTTTTTTTTTTATGGTGACAACCATTACAACTTCTCAAATTGAGTAGTTTTCTGTAATGGATGGGCTATCTATTTATTTACCATTTGTCATGTACAATCTCCCTTCTTGTGATGTCACATTATACATACAAGTTACTTTCTCTCTCTTATCAAACAAGGTTATGTTATTTGAGCAGTTGATATTCTTCTCTTTGTTGTGATCCATTTTACCAAAGTCCTAATGCTAGCACATAGCCACTTCTTTGATTTATGAAACCCAGGATGACTAGTCTAATGTTGATCTGCTAAAATCCTTTAAGCTGCACTATGTCAGTTCCTGACTGCTATATCTTAGGGTCTAGCAAATAAGCAGCTTTATATTGGGTTCCCTACAGTAGTTACAGTATCAGATTGAGTTGGTTCTCAATTTGTTGTATAGTTATGCTTCCCAATGTGGTTATCTTCTTGAGTGGCGGTACTTACTCTAAATTATGTAGAACAAATAATTACTGATAAAAAAAAGAAAGCTAATACAAATCCCATTACTTTAAGTATTGTTGAATCTTTGGGGTTCAATTAAATGATCAATTTACTCATATTAATTATCTATTAGACAATTGATCGGTCAATTGTTTCTACTTGTTCAGCCCATGAATCAATAACGACAACTGTTTAACTGCCCAGGATGATGGAATTGATTCAGAAATGAAGAAGCTGAGTATGCCTGAGGACGCATATTTACCTATTTAGTGTTAGGTTTTAAGATTAAGAAATAAAGAGAAATAAAAAAGAAATGATAGTGAAGAAGAGCTTAACTGAGGTAGATTACAGTAGAAATGTACTTTAAAACTTGACTCAGGATAATAAATACAATTATTTAATCTCTTGCTAGTCAATACACCATTAAGCCCATTTTATTCTAGTTCTCAATTTCTCATTAAATTTTGCTTTCCTATCCTTTGCATTTGATGTATGACTTAGTAAAAATAGATTAATTTTTCATATTATTACAGGTATTGGTTATATGCCGCTGTTAGTTGTAAATGTTTGTTGGTTACCAATGATGAAATGAGGGATCATTTATTCCAACTGCTAGGAACTAACTTTTTCCCAAGATGGAAAGAAAAGCATCAGGTGTGTGTTTATTTTTCATTTCTTCTATATTGCCTTTTTTTTTTTGAATTTGTGGTGGAAAATGTATTTAATGTAAAAGCACAATTTCATTGCCAGATCTCATAGAATGAGGAACAATGAAAAATATTATTCCTCTTAAGCAATAGATTTTTTATCATGTATATTGTCTGCACTTTTTGAACTATTACTCTTGTATTGTTTGTTGAACTTGGTTCTATTACTCACACCATTTATCAATTTTGTATTTCCAAGAACTAAATATCTTTCAAAAGTTCCATTTTAATTATTATTTCTTTTATATACTTTTTTCATTAATGGACCAAATTGTTTTAATATGCAGAATTGACACAATTTTATTTTTTTGATGAGGTGATCAAACAATTTTTAATAGAAAATGATTATTATTGTTGTTGTTGTTGTTGTTAGGCTGGGTTTGGGCTCGGGCTCGGTTCAGGCTTATTTGAGAAAGCCTGAGCCCGGCCTGAAACATAGTTGGACCTGGTGCGTAGAGGCTGAACCCGTGGGCCTAAAATTTTGCCCAAGCCTAATAAAGAATGGCCAGGCTGGGCCAGCTCGTCAGGCTACCCGGCCCACAAACAGGTTTATTTACAGTTACAACAGTATACTGCCCTCTACACCCAAAATATTTACCCAGCCATAGACAAAGTTTCTACATTCACTTGAGCTCATTTGAAACAAGAGTGTAATATATAAATAAGATTGCTCCTACCAACATGTATGAATCACTGGCCTTCCAATCTTTCAGATTCTTTGGTTATGTTCTTTCCTAATAGCCCAACATGTTGCGTGTGGAACCAGGGCCTGAAGTACTGCAACCTTGCTCTCAACTGAAGCATAAGGCAAAAATTGGATCACTTGCTTTATTGATGAAGAGCAAACCAATAATATCTGAAACAAGGAACTGAAAAAATCCATAGAAATGACATGGCTGAGAAAAAAAAGGAAGAGGTGGTTGACCGTCTCTTTGGCTGTTTTATACATGACACAGCAATAAAAAATTTGTCCACACAAGATTTGCATCTCCTTTTATGGATTTCATCACTATTACAAATTCCTTTTGGTTTTTCTTTCCAAACAATTCCATTCCTTTGAATGGGGAAGACGATAAGATCTTCAAGTTTCTGAGGAAGAAGACATTCCATGATTTTTCTATTAAAGAGGGGCTTCTGAAAAAATTGAGTTCCATATAATGCAATACTTTACCTAAAAGAAGTGTTCCATAAGTGGAACTGCCTTGAACAGAAAAAAAATAAAGAAATTCAGAGATTTTCTTTCTGACATGAGAGTAAACTCTGTATAGTCTAGGACATAGGATGCATGCTTTGCCAGCATTAGATCAATCATCTTCCCAAATTTTGATTTTAGTCTCATTTTCCACCTTGTTTTTCACGAGGGTAGAGCACACAAAATATATTATTATTATTAGCATGATGCCCTTCCATAAGCTAACCCCATAAGAAGAGGCCACTGATTTAGTTTCCCAAATACTTATTGTATCCCCATATTTTGCAGCCACTACCATTCTATGAAGAGCAAGTTCCTCCCAAGAACAAAGCTTTGTTCATGAAGCTCATTTTTTGAAAAACCTAGACTCAGAAAATGTTTGGGCTGTCTCACCCATTTCCACCTAATAGAATTTCTTCTTATCACCTCTACAATTCCAAAAGAAACCCACTTTGAATTTTCTTGGATCTTTTTGCAATAAAAGCTGGCATTTTAATTTTTAAGAAATGAGGCAAGATAGATAGGGATGCTAGCCAATGCACACCTTTCATCCAGCCAACCTCTGATCCATTCCATCAGTGATAGGATTTCCTGCTCATTTTCAATTTTGTTTAACACTTAATGGAAAGCCCAAATAAGAACAGCACAGAGGTTCCACTTGACACCCCAAAGCGGCTGCACATGTTCTAAGAGTCATTATTATAATTACCCACCCCAAAAATGGCACTGTTAAAATGCTTCAGGGATACAAGAAAACTTTGAAATAGCCAAGAATGGCTCTCAACTTCTGATTTGCAGGGCTAAAAGATAAAGGAAAGTCAATGTGTCATCTACATATGGAGGTGGGTAATAATAGGTGCTTCCTTCACTGTAAAACCGGTAATGAGCCTCATGTTTTCTGCCTTACACATCATGCAGCTTGGTTTCAGTTACTGACAAAGAAGTCATCAGGAAAAGGGACATTGTCTTAGAAACTGCTGATCAAACTGATTGGTTGGGAATGCTTATCTTCCTTGACCTCTTATCTTCTTAGGAATAAGAGAAATAAAGGTAGCGTTGAATGTGACTCTAGATATTCCTATCATGGATTTAAACACATATATTCCTCCAAGAAATTCTATACAGCTTCAAAGAAGTTCATATTCGAATCTATCTAGATTGGAGAGTTGGTCCATTCAACAGCTTGTCTCCTAGATTTCCTCTGCTAATTCCCTTTCTAACCATCATGCCTCTTTGTTCAAGATATTCTTAGCTCCAGCCCCACCAAGATTGGTTTACTACCATCTTTGACTGCATATATATTTGAAAAGTAGCTTTCTATTATTTGTCTTACCTTTTGTGTTCTTGATCCATGGGTTATCAATTTTCAGCTTGAATAGAGTTGCCCTTCCTCCTGAAATTTTCATATGCACAAAAAAACCTGAATATGGGTTGCTTTGCTCATTGAGCATTACCTTCATTGACTTGACAGTAGCTCCAGCAAATTAAATCCTGGGTAATGAATGTTCATATGTCCAAAAGAAGGGGAACATGGCTTAATTACTCTCTTCGGTTGTTATTCTCTTCTTCAGTTGTCATGAAATAGATGTGTTTATTACAGACGTTCTAAACTGAAAATCCAATTACATTTTGATGTTTCACCCGGATTGGTCTCCTTGCTGAAACCCAAATTTGTTTTGATCTTCACAGGTTCGACTTACAATTTCCAGAAATGGGCCCACCTTCCACATGCCCCCACCTTATTCAATTGTTATACAGGTGATCGTGTCACGGCTGTTCATTTCCTTGATCATTTTAAGCTGTAATTTGTTATTGCATGACTTCTATTTGCATCTTAAAAATGTTGACTCGAGGATGAATGTGCAGGAATCAGAAAGGGGTAGTTGGCATATACCAACGGTCACTGGTGACAACATTGAGACTCCAAAGCAGTGGTTGTGTGCTACCCGGTCCCAATCTAACACTGTCCCAGATCCAACACGAAAATCCTCTTCCATGGGAGAACTCACTAGGTTGTTTTCAACCAACAAACCGAATGTTGTGTAATCTTTGAAGAGAATGTCTATATTTAGGGGGCCGTTGGGTTCGCGGGAATAGGGGTCCGGAATCGGAATGACTTGGTTGGGCGGAATTGAAATTCCATTCCCATTCCTGTTGGAATGGTCATTCAATACCATTCCAGCTTATTCTTATTCGAAAGGATTTTGATTCTTATTTCAATTTTGATTCGATTGCAAACCAATGGATCATTAATGGTTTTTTTTTTTTTTTTTAAACTTGTGTAAACCATGAGCAAGTTTGGATTTTTTGAGCTGAAAGTTGAAGTTGAACCTAACCACGAGACAGGTAAGATAATTGTAATAAACTGAATACGAGTATCGGGCCAGAGCCAATTCCAAACATTGCATTGAACAAACGGACGAGGGGCACATGCTCTTATTTTAGATATAGGCCATGTTTGGGAATGCTTATGTTAAAAATAGCACTTATTGAACAAGTGCTTATTTGAATAAGTACATATTTATATTTGGCATTCAACTTTTTCAAGTGTCTTATTTTAAAAAATAAGTACTTATTTCGTATTTGGTGTTTGCTAGTCTTTTTTTCTAATGAGCACTTAAATATGTATTTATGACTATTTTGCCTTTCATTTTCTTTTAAATTTTAGGAAAACACTTTTATAAAAGTATTTTAAAATAATTTTATAAAAGTATTTTTATAAAAATATTTTTATAGAAGTATTTTTATAAAAGTAAAAGTATTTTTGTGGAAGTACTTTTATGAAATTCAAGTAGGGATAATTTTGAAAGAAAATTTTGAATAATTGCTTATTGTATAAATACTTTAAAATATTGAAAATTTGGATTTAAAAAATAAGCACTTATTTTTCAAACACCAATAAGTGCTTAGTGATATGGTTCCCCAAATAAGCGCTTATTTTTAAGCTTTACTCTCGCTAATATAGAAATGAAAACTGTCGTGGGTCTCTGCAAGAGTTGAAGTTGGTCGATGAGAGTTTGCTTCTGATGCAGAAGACCTGCTGCTTTTGGGATTTGGGTGAAATAGACCAACTCTATGCTCTGTAATAGGCCATGGAAATCCCACCACATTACTCTTTCTTCTCATGTTTTACGTTTCTCCACAAGACCACAACTCCCAACTCCTGTCAGTCTCCCAATTGTCTGTCTCGCTTTTTGTCTTTATTTCTTCCCTGTGCGTCTGCTGAAATAGAGTTGAGATGGTGAGGGGTGATGGGCCGATGGCCTGGTGGGTGTGGATAGGGGATCAAGAGAATTGGAGTCAATGTTCTGATTTTTTGTATACTAAGATCCCCAGGCCCAAATTGCCACATGTTGCTTCAGTTTAATTTATGGGCAAATTTCTTAAATTGCTCTTGTGGTTTAGCTAATTGACTAACTCTATCTTTACTGTTTACATATTGTTTTAAAGTATCCTTACTGTTTTTGACAATTTATTGTCTAAAACCTCTACTACCGTTAATCCTCCGTCATAAATCGTTTACATGTGACATCACATCACTAATTCAAATCCCTAAAATACCCTTTTGTCACAGAATTCAGGGCACCGAGACTGGGAGTGGGACACTGGGACCTATTTACCTCTATCACCACCCACCAGCCTTCCATGTGGACTGCATTGATATATGGCTCAGGTGAGGTCTCATGCCAACTGTCCATGTCGCGCTGGTTTTGTCCAGAATCTCCATTTATTCCATTAATGGCAGCCAGAAGCTGATGCACTAGATCAGACCCGTTGAAGAAGCATCACCTCGAAGAAACTCACAGTGGATCGGTTTGTGTACTTCAGCGGACTGGGGAGAGCTGGGGGGGATCAAGGGAGCCATGACCCCCCCTATGGTCCAGAAATCCGCACAGTGAATACATTTTTCTATATAAGTTCTCTCCCTCCCCTCACTTTTCACCCAATGGTTTGGCCCCCCTATGAACCATTCATAAGTTTTGGCCTTCTCGTAAAAAATTTCTGGCTCTGCCCCTGCCAGCAGAGAATCCTCCCCCAAGATGGACTAAGTGGTTGACCACCCCTATAGCATCATCGCCTTGCTTTTCTTTCTTTGGGTGAGAATCACTTGCACTCTCATAAATCTCAGTAATTACTTTAGTGCGTGCTCTGCCATTGATGTGCCTGGCATTTCCCGGTCGGACTTTTGAGGGTGAGTTTTTTAGTTTTAGGCACCGTTCCATTGAACGGGTGCATAACTCTATAGGTTGTAAGAACAATAACTTCCTGGTGTTCTTTGGATTGTGGTCGACCGTCGGTTGCATCTAAGGAAACAGATTTTAAATAAACACAGAAAGGGTAGTGCAGACAAGGGAAAAAGCACAAAGAAATATTGAAAAGAAGGAAAACCCCTACTACAGAACGTCAGATGCTATGTTAAATTTGTCTGCTCCTCAACAACACCATTCGTTGTTTATATTCAAAACTACGTTTTCCATGGGAGAAGTTTCCTCAACAACACCATTGTCAATGGGAGAGATTTCCTCAAGCAATAACTAATTGTAAAAGAAAATACAAATAACATGAATTAATCAAGTTGATCGACTCTGCCTTTACAATCAGATTCTGTAATTAAAATTGAAAATCTCTTTTGGGTTCTTCAATCTTACAAAAAATTTGGATAAGTCGGGGGAGACCAAGACGAAGAAGGGCCTGTTGCGTTGACACGCAATCATTCTACCCATCTCTACAGTCTACCTTGCCATGTTTGAATCATCTAAATGTTTCAGATATTGAAGGAGTGCCCCTCCTCTTACTACGGTCCTGCTAACGCTTTCTACATGCTTTCTCAGTCTAGATTTCTGAATCTCTGACATAAAATTTACAGATGCAGTTTGAGAAGGTTGTTGTTGAGGTTGAATTGGGGGGCGGCAACGGCGGACTTAGAGGAGAGGATGGCCTCTTGCTCTTTGTTGATGGACTTTCCCTCAGAAATGCGAAGAAATGCCACATAGAAGGAAAGATTGCAGTTTTTCAAAATTTTCATCAAGCACTTACAAATATGTAAACAATAAGTACTTAGATTTTGCCCTGTCAATTGTCAGAAATAATAGGGTAACAGTGTTAATCAATTATCTAAACCATAAGGGTACTTTCAAAATTTTGCCCTTTATTTATTTATTATGGTCATTTATTAAAACACCCCTTGTAGTTTTGTAAATTTACTAAAGTGTATCCTATATTTTAGGTTTACTAAAACACTCCTAATAATTCATAACCAATTTATTTAATCGACCCTCTGTTAAGAATCCTTTATATTTCTGTCAAAAAATGGTAATGTGACCATATAAGGGTTTGGGTCCCTGCTTTTTATTCCAAAAATATCCCTATCTAGAAATAAAACACTTGATTTTTAGATCTATAAAAAGATATTTGGCTTCAATAGAATGAAGAATATAGAACAATGTTACTTGGCATAAAAAAGAATAGAACAATGACATCTAAGGTTCCACTAGATATCAGTGGAAAATCACAGTTTTGACCCTAATGTCCATTTGAATAATCAAAAGAAAATAAAAATAAAATACTATTTTTATCCCTAATAAGACATGAGCAACCACTCTATTTGGTCAATTTTGTTTTCTATATAAAGAATTATTAAGGGTATTTTTGGAATAAACAATCATGGGCACATGCCCTTGAACATTTTCCACTCACTTTAGGTGATCATTTTATTATTTTTAGATTGCAAAACAAATACTTCTTAGTGAAAGGTCAATTAAGTAAATAGCTTATAAACTATAAGGGGTCTTTTAGTAAATGAAAACTATTGGATAAGTTTAAGTAAATTTGTAAAACTATTGAGGGTGTTCTAGTAAATGACCCAATAAAAAACTAAATTGTAAAAAAGGATTCAATTTTCATGCCAAAAAGATATGATATAGAAAAAAACTCATCAATTAGATAGGTTTTCATCAAAATTCATTGGAGTTTTGATTGGTCAAAACTCTTCCCATACCATGTCTTTTTAGCATCATCAATTTTCTCATTTTTCCAACATCATATATTTTTTTTTATAAAAAAAAGAAAATTGAAAAATTAGGAGGTAGAGGCCGATATAGAAGAGTCTGGATTTGCTTCTTATAATGCATGCCTCACATCAACCTCATAGGCCACAGCATGTCCGGGCCGCACATCAAGAACATCTCCCATTCTTGAATTTATTATTCATGGGAGATGTTCCCATTATAGGGTGAGATGTGATTGTGAGATCGGTGTGAGGTGTGTTATGTAAGAGCATATCCCAATTCGATATAAAACCGGATCGCAACAGAGGGCCCTAACAACCAGTCCCAACACACACCCCAACTATACAATGGAAAAATGAATTCAGATCTGCGCCACACAACGTCCCACAGCACATCCTTGCCCTGTATTGATAATATCTCCTAATGACAACATCATCATTTCGTATCATCAAGATGTTCCCAATACACGCCATGATGTCATGTGGGACGCTGTGGGGCGCAGATGTGAACTCCGGAAACATCTACCAATAACGACAGCGAGATAGTCTTAATGTACGGTTGCAAATAACTGTTGGGACCCGTAGTTGTACTGCAAATTCTTTTTTTTTGTATAAAATCACCGGTCAATATGTTATAGTACTTAAAAAACTTCTAACCAATTATAAACTCACGTGAATTTGAATGCACATTGATTAGCAATTTGATGGTACCGATTGAATGGTTATCACTCTTTCATGTACGCGACCTTAATTTTCCAGTACCATGATGATGGGACTCTACGCTCGAAGCGGGAAAAAAACATGATGGGCCTCTACGTACATTAAATTAGATGCGGGGCCTACAATAATGAAAATTATTATACTTTTCTTGGGATTTAGGTCAAGACCTCAAGACCTCCCCTTAGACTTTGCTATCTACTAAAAGATCTTTACTATTTTCGTAAATTATTTATTCTGCTCAAATTTGATATGATACACCTTGAATCCGGTATATTGTCTCGTATCTTTTAGTATATGATATATCTACTTTAAGGGGTGATAACGAGTCGAGTTTTTCACGAGTTGTTTGAGCTCGATTTGGTTCGGTTCAGTTTGATTTCAGTCAAGTTCGAGTCTATTAGAGCTCGGTTTATGAGGCTCGCAAGTCAGCTCGAATATATATATATATATATATATATATATTATAATTCTTAATTATTATATCAAATAAAAATATTATAATTCTTAATTTTTTAAATATAAAATAAAAAAGTATATATATAATTTTTATTTTTATAAAATATTTTTTCTAAATATTTTTATAAAATATAAAACGAGCTGAGCCGAGCTCGAGCTTATGAACTCTTGACTTGAGCCGAGCTCAAGCTCAAGGTTCTGGCTCAAACCGAGCTCGAGCCTTATAGAATAGCCTCGAGACGACCTTGAGCCTAGTACTATTCGACTTGACTCAGCTCGAATCCACCCCCAATTTAAGGTGATTTTAAAAAGTTTTTTCTAAATAATTAAAACACATAAAAATAGTATTGATATTTTAAACCTTGATTCCACCTTTCTACTAATAAATAATAAACCATCAGTTTTAGCATGGGAAGTGTCATGACATTTAAAATAAAAAATTAAAAGGTCAAAAATAAAATAAAGTTTGAGATGATAAACTGTTAGGATCCATAAGATGGGTGGCCGAACCATGCTAGATGCTTGGGCAAATTTTCAAAAATTTCCTAATCCTTTTGGGAATCGAATTCCCTATGTTTTGAAAAATTGCATTTTTCAAGATTGGTCTTGTATTGAACCAGACCATATTTGAAACCAATCAAAGAGGGAGATGTATACCTGATACGAATACCACAAATGCAGAACCCAAGGTGGAAGTTCATACCTAAATCAGTCTTAAAACTAGCCTCCACTAAAGATGGTGCAGTATATTCCTGAAGTCGGATTAACAACATAGTTTTTAACAAAACTACAATCCAACTACTTGGGTCGAACTAGGGAAGTTGAGCCTAATATCCCCTGAATTTTTCTTGCAAAAATAAGAGAAAAACTAATCTATATCAGTCCTAGTAGCTGAGGTCAAACTAAGAGAAAACTGGGAGACAAAAGGGTGCAGAGAAAACCAAAAACTGCAAAATTATGAAGATGTTTTGGACTGGTCTGTCCCCTCCCCTTTTATAATCTCTTATAGAGCTATCTCATAATCTAATTAAGAGATAATCCAAATCTAAATCAGATCTGGATTCTAATTAGAGATATACCTTATCTTATTATAAGATTAGGTCTCCATACCCAAATCCAAACCTAGATTTGCCCCATGTTACATGACAACTTAATTAATCATATTAATTATGGGCTTTACGCCAATCAACTATAAGGCTCACGACCCAAGGGTGTTGCATGGCCAACTTAGGTCTAATTTGTATGGTGTGGGACCCCACAATGACCTCACATAAGTTCATATGGGTTCAGCCTAGCCTCTATGAAAAGGCTTGTCTGAATTCACTTTTAAACACAATGAACCCCTGAGTACATCACTATGGGCTCAATATGAGTTCAACATTTACACTTAAATTATCATTTTATTCAACCATCCTATAAAGACCCAAGGATAATGGACTTAACCTCTTGGCCCATAATGATCAAATACTATTCGACAGGGAATGACCTCTTTCTTGTTGCAAGGTATAGTGTCACACTCTTTGCTTGGATGAATCCCAATAATTAAAACCTTTTGCAAACATTTTCAATAAAACATTATATATATCTATATATATTACAAAACAAAACCTCAAATATAATTGAAATCCACTACCGACAATTTAGGTTTTCATTAGAGAAAGTGTAAGTCCTACAATTCACTTTGTTTGACAAAGGGACCGATCTTATCACTATAATCATCCACTCAACTGAATTCTCGAACTGCCCCAACATATTTAGGTTTTGACCCTCAATGGATCTCACTGATTGGCATATCAAAGATAACTCAATTCAATACCTAGTGTAATAATCAAGTTTAGGAGTTATGTGTAACTTTCCAGTTTTGCCCATTAATCTCCAAAGTCTACGGCATAATTAGAAAATGGTCAAGGTTTAGTGTTTAAACTAAACACACATTGCATGTGCTTTGAGTCTAACCCTAATAGTTGAGACAAGCTGCCCCAACTTTATCTAATGGCTAAGAGCATTTTAATCTAATACGAGTCTCATAAGTATCTAGTTTAAAGGGTAATTTCGCAGAAACATACCAATATCAACATAAAACAATAATGTATTTTTATTCATTTACAATAAATGTATTTATACATCAATCAAATTTGAGCTAAGGGCATAAACTATCTAACATTTTATTATTAAAGGCATTTTAAGAAAATAACTAATATTATTTTAATTTCTTCTAACATCTATATTCCCTTGGAGTTCAGAATCTCCTCCCAACAAAATGCATTCCAACAAGCTACCAATTTGATCTTATACCATAAATCTTGCTATAAAAATGGGCCACCATAAAAGTGAGACCCGCCATAAATGAGATATACGGTGTCGGATAATGTTGGTAGGGTGTTTCCTTTGATAAGTAAGCCGTAGAAATATCAAACATAGTATTACTATTATACATGTTATAGATAGGAATATATTCCCAATGCATGGGATAGTGTGCTGTGGATAAGCGTGGCGAGAGTTCTTCTGTACATGAGATCCGGAGTCAGAAGTTTTATGTTCAATGGGGTATTAGCAAATACATAAACGGGAGGGAAGTATTAGCATTTGATGAAAACGCTGGGGACGTATGAGTAATTTACCCTATGTTCGGATGTTTGGCTCGACAAAATGAGAGGATGGCGGGAGAGACGGAAGGACGGGATTTCGAGAGACCGTTGTAAAGAAAGACATTGAAGCCTCCATCCACTCCACAGCCTTCGAAAAAGTGAGACCCCATTTCCCTGAGAAAAATTTCCCACAGAGGTCGAAAAATTTCCGGGAGACTGTTGTAAGGAAGAAATTCAAGCATCCACCACCTTTGACATTGACGATTTTGACGTCCGGCGATCAAAGGTGAGACTGCATGTTCTTTAGCATCGCGAGCATTTTCTTAATTTTGGATTTTTTTTTTGGGTTGTTTAGAAGAATCCCAGAAGATCCCTATTTCTAAGCTTGCCGACCAGAGAGGCTTGTCGGTGAGTATTTTTTTTTGAGTGTTTTGGTTCCCATGGCCGGCGATTACCGGCGAGATATATGATGAAAACCTCTCAGATCTATCGGCGAGTGTTCTTAACAGATCATAACTTAGATCTGTGGAGTTAGGTGATGAGATGGAGATCTGTCTCTCTCTCCACTTCATTCTACTGGTTACGCATAGCATTCCTCGTTTGAGATATTATTTATATATTTACTTTTATTTTTTGGTATAAATGAACAGGGAATAGACAACGGATTACAACTTAGAGTTTGCCTCTTCGCTTTAAAAACTGTTCAGCTTCGTCATTTGCCTTTGTCTTCCTAGTTGCTGGTTATCTTCCTCTTCACCGGTGACTACTGCTACCGTGTGAGTTTCTTTTTTTTTTTTTTCATTTTATTTCAATTTGAATTTTTTCCTCGTTTGACTCCTTTTATGTGTTTCAAATCATGGTTATGATGTTAGGATTAAGGTTTTAGTGAGGTTTAACCGAAGATTTCGTGTTGTTAAATAAAATTTGGATTATGATTTTATATTGCATTCATAGTTGCATGCCTTTATTTCATTGTTGTGTTATGCCTTGATGGCATGGGGTTCATTTATTTGGGTAGAGCTAAGTTGAGACAACAAACAAGAGTGAGTCTCTCTCTCTCTCTCTCTCTCTCGTTCTCATCCTTTTTGAAATGAAGCTTCGTATGCAGGGCCAATGAGGACGAATGGGGTTTATTTGGCAAGGCATGTTGTTACGTGGGTTATGGGATGAAAACTTTATCTTGTCAGTTGTGGTGAGATTCTGTATTTTGTTTTTTGATATTTGTGTTAAATTTCAGCTCTGTTATTCTTGGAGGAAGGGGAACTTGTTTCATTCGAAAGGACATGGTAGAAAAAATTATTTGTCTGGGATTTCATTGTTACTGAGAGTAATGGATAATTTTTATTTGATAAATCTTGGGATCAAGGTTGGTTTCAGGTTTAGGGATTCTGTTCTGCTTGAACAAGGGTTTGTTTCATATAAACCTTCTTTTTTATTAATCTGTTGTATTCCTGGTAAATGGTGGAGCAATTTGGGTGCACATGGATTTGGAGATGTTGGAGTTTTGTTCTGATCAAGTGGATTCTATTCATGTAATGGAACTTGGAGCTCAGGGTGCCTTTGTGGTAGAAGGATACTGAGATTGGCAAAAGTGAGGTCTGGATCTGTCAATGAAGAGAATAAAGACTGCAACCCTAACCTATATTATCAAGAGTATTAAATTATTGAGGTTTGAGAGTTCTAGAGTATAAAGACTCTGTTCTGAAGTTCTAAGTCAGCTAATATAAGAGCAAATGTTTCGTGATACATAACCTAGGTATTGCACAACTGTTTTCCTTGCCAAGGTGGAAACTCTCTTTCTGTATTACAGTGTTTTGATGATTTCAATATTGATCAAAGTTTTGTGAAGTCCATTCTTTTATGTGAATTATAACCTTACACTTAATTTCTGCTACATACTCACATACTAGATTTAAATGCTTATTGTTGTCCAACAAGTTAATCTTCTAATTGCATAGTAGCTTGTTATGGCCTATGGGGATCAAATCTTTTCATAGGCTTCTGAACATTCTGTCATTGGAGCATTATTTTGTATGTTAAAGTGGTGGAATAGTTGCAGATTAGTTATTGAATGGTTTAAAAGGTCTTGCTTTTGAATGTTATTTTCTAAATATTACAGGAATAAAATGCAAGGCTGTCCACAAATCTTAAATTGAAGTCTAAGACTAAGCATCTTCTTATAGAGCACTCTTAATTGAATGAATTCTATAAGGCTGCTAGTGACTTGTGGGGGGTAGTCTGGTAGGTCTAACTTTCTTTACCCACCAGCCAAACGATAACCCAATATTGAATGCTTTTATAGAGCATGCTCAATCACACAGCAACCTTTTGAAGAAAACTACATTTAGTCTAACCTTTTTCCCCGAAGATGCTTGTCATTCTTTTTTTGTTTACACATTTAGTCTAACTTATAATGTTTACACATTATAGGTTTTGGATTCTGCTTGCATTCTTTTTTTTGACTTGTGGTAGATGAGGTGCAGTGCCAAATGGATCCATGTATTTGAACTTTGGATGATTTCATATTGTAGCATGCAGCCATGTGACATGAAGAATTATTTTTTCTTTTCTTGTCTTTAAATCTTCAAGATATTTCTGAAGGCCATACATACACTGGTAGAGGTAGTCTGCAACACAATGTGGGGTATAGACTTGTTTGAACAAGGGACCTAAGGAACTAAACATGTTTTTAATATTTCTTAAATATCTAGCTAATGAAATAAAAGGCTTTATTTTCTATTCAGTTGAATTTTGTCAATTTCTACATTTTTGATTTTTGGAGGTAGCCTAGTGGTTTATGCTGTTGTGAAATTTAGTGTGGATATTTTTGCATAATGGGCTTTGTTTCAGGATAGATTGGCATGAATTCAAGGTTGTTTATGATGCCTTTCACATTCTTTGAGGATACAAAGTTGTCAATGTTGGCTTAGAATTATACACATTTTTCTTAAAGAAGAGATACAGTTATACATTTTTTTTTTCAAATTAATAACATTTCTTCTTACCTTGGTTGGGACATAACCTTGGGTCCATCACTTGTTTTTTTAGCTTGAAGCTCTTTTTTATTGAGATGTGTAGGCTAAACATCACAAAACAGCATATTCAAGTGTTTATAATTTCAACATGACTAAGCTGGTATATTTTAGGTATTTTCTATTTGGCTTCTAGGAAAATCCAGGTAAGAATTATACAATGTATGTTTGGAATGAGATTTTGAGCTGATTGAATATACATTGATGTAAAAGATTGTTGCTTGACTTGCCAAGCCACTACAACACATATAAAATCTGCTATTTACTTGGACCAGTCCCGATGGATAAGGTGAGCTATGTAGCCCAAGTAGATGGATAAGGTTAAAATGAAAACATGAAAAATGAAACTTCTGCTTTATAACTAAAGATTAAGGGGAAAATAGTGCTGTCAATGGGTTAGGTCTGGTTTGGGTCAGGGTAGACCTGGTCCCGATCAGATATATAAATGAGCAGAATCAGTTCCAAACCAGACCCAATAGTTTCTGTAATAACAGACCAAGAACCGGCCCAATTATTAATTGGGGCTATCAGGTCTGGCCTGATTAGACCTGATAATAATTGGCAGCTATATTTTTAACCTGCAATTTGATGGCGAACCTACAAAGTTGTTAAATTGACACATTTGGACTCTTCATTATTAGTATTTACATCCCAATCAGTTATGTCTTCTTTCCCTATTGATTGAGTGAGGTCCATCAAACATCATCAGGTGGTGAAAAACAGTTGGGAGTAGTCTGTGGTGTGTACTCCTCACTATCTTAATGAAATTAGTGATCACCTTACATTGCTGGCCACTTGGATCTGATGGATTCCTAGGGAGTTAAAATGTTAAATTCCTTGGCTGATGAACTAGCTAAATCAGGGATTGAGAGGACTTTGCCTGAGTATTTTTATGTTTTAGTTGTGGGTGGGACTGTTTAGTTTTGTGTGTTCCTGTACATCCTCTCTTGTACTCGCTTTTTGCCACATGTGATCAATACAAATACTTTAGTTACCTTTATCCCCCACCCCTAACCACCCAAAAAAATATAGTTTTCATCTTCCTATTTGTGAACTAATCTAATATATGCTCTCTTTTGAGACCAACCAAACAGTTTTTCACCAAATTATTTGCATAATTTGATGTCATTTCATGATTGGATTTATACTTCTCAACACCGAATTTATATATTTTTCTTCTCTATGTACAGCTGATGCTGTCAACTTTTGCAGTTTGACAGAAAAAGGATGGGTTCGTGGTGAATATTGTCCTCAGGGAGAAAGTTCAAAAATTTTAATGTCCATGACAGCATTTGTATATCCTTAACCAAAGATTTGAACAGGGTTCTGTGTATTTTGTGCTGTATTATTCAGATGAAAGGAGGAAACATTTACAGATTGAGGGGAAAACTACTCTCTCTTACTCTCACAGTCCTCATTTTCACAACTATCCTTCTTTGGGCATGGGAAAGAACCCCACTTACATTGCTCACAGTGCAGGAACAGTTTGAGATGCCTTCAGGTTTGTTTCACAGCTCATACTTGCCAGTTTTTTTTAGGAACATGGTTATTTTCATTATTTAGGCATTATTTTCCATTTTACTGGTCAGGTTATCAGGAGTATACTTGAGTATAAGATGCAAGGTAATGAACTGAACTGAGAAAATGAGACAATTTGAGAAAATAACAAGCAATTTTCTCCAAAGGATTAAACCATTGAAGAAATATGAGGGGATGTTCTATTCAAGTTGAATAATTTTCTTTTTTGGTCAGCATGCATTTAAGGTCAATATTCAAACCAAAGCCAATCATATTCCCTTTCAGTTGCTGAAATGGAGCAAGAAGCAAACCATAATCTGGGTAGTGATTGATGTAGATGTTCTTTTCTCTAGTCATCTTGATAGAACCACTTCCTGGTGTGATGAATTGACGTTTGAAAGCAAGGTTCAAAGTATCGTTATGTATCGGCCCGTATCAGCTGATACGTATTGTTCCGGGACCCTTCTGATACGCCCCTACAGTGGGTGTATTGGGGGTCTGACCGGTTCAGGGGATGGAGGGGTCCTAGACTGGCTCCCCTGAACCAGTTTTGAAAAAAGAAAAGTAAAAAAACAAGTATCGAAACGCCCGATACGCCGCCTACCGGCGTATCGGGCGTATTGATATTTTGAACCTTGTTTGAAAGTTGTAGAGAGACTGGGCCAAATGGGCCCTAGCCCATTAGTGTCTTTCTTGTTATTTTTTCTTATTGGGCCTTTTCTTTATGGGCCTTTAGCTCTTGTTTATGTTTTCTAAGTATAGTGCTGATGTGGACGCTTACTTAAGGGCAATTTTGTAAATTATGTACAAGTTTATTAAAAGGATTAGTGGGAGAAAGAGGAGATTATCAAACTCCTCCTTTTTTCTCCAATCTTCCTTCTTCTTCTTGCTGTCTTCTTCTTCTTCCTTAATTTCTTTTGCTTTATTCTAAAATATTCTACTAATTTTATTGGTTTGAATCACATCTAAAGTTAACCTATAAACATTGGTCATTTGTAGGTTCAGGTTTTGGAGATGCAAACCAGATAGGAAAATAGGGTCTCTTGGGACAAGGAAGTACTTAAGTACCCTTCCATCTGTTCCTAAGGAGAGCATGCAAATTCACCTATCAGGACCAATATACTTTCTTCCGTAGAAGAGGAAACTTAATTTTAAGAGGCACTTGTTGATTCAATGTCTGCAACCTTTTTAAATGGACAAGTTGTTCCATAAGATCCCTTGGATGACAAGGTGACTAGAAGACTTGCAAGTACAGTGGTTAAATTTCAGAAGTTTCGTCATCAAGAAAAAGATCTTTAGACAGAATTGGGGGGAGAAAAAGGTTTAATCATTAGCTCCTGCTTGGTAACATGGAGTATTCAAGAATAAAAAGAAGATATTTAAAAAAGTTTAGCATAAATTATGAACTGAATGATCCTGTAAACAAAAGGAGGAGGAAAGAAGAAGAATGCAGGATATGTTAGAAATAGACCTGTTTATGATATGGGCTTTGGGCTCGGCCCATGAACATTTTACACTGCTTTGTGCTCAGGCTTCATGCTGGACCCATTGGCAGAAGTTAAGCCCAACCCTGGCCCATGAACAGGTTTAATTAGGATTTGACAAATATTAGATTCTTTCCGTGGTTTTGAAATTGGATGCCTCATTTTAATGGGCTAGCTTTTATTTTGTGGATTTTGGCTTTTGCTGGGTATCTTTTGAGTGTGATGTCTGTTATGGTTGTGTCTAATCTATGCTATATGGTATCTTGTTGTGTTATTACATTTCATCTTTAATGTGGGATTCTTGTTTGGGTTGACAGTTAATTCCCATCTTGGTTTTTTGGGAAGTTTGTTTGTATTTCTTGTCTATCATTTGATGCTTGGAAGGGGTTTTTTAGGTGATGTCTTGATTTCCTCAGATGAATTCTGTGGTAGGGTCAAGGGTGCAAATTCTTTGTAGGTAATTCTCAAAGAGTGTCTTCAGGGATTTTTCTTTGTAAATTTCTAATTTCCTTTTTTTTCCTCTTCCTAAATAAAATTTGTTGATGCAGCAAAGCGAAAAAGAAAAATGATAAATATAGGAAAAGAATAGGTTAATCTGCAAAAAGCTACTTACCCACTAATTAATCATTTCCATTTCTTGTCTTTCTGTTTAGCTTAGTCTTAAAGATTACAGAAATTTCAAACTAGTATGCATTTTGAACTTCTTTAATGTATGGATCTCTTAATTTGCCTCCCCATTTTTCCCAACAATTACTATATGATTCCAACATGTTGACAATTATTAACACCTCTGGCATATGCCTCAGGGCGTTTTGGGGGCACCTTGCCTAGAGGTGTGCCTCCAGGGATACACCTCCCACACCTTTTAAAACACTAGTTGACATGTTAGTGTCTGAGTTAAAAGTTCTTTCAAGATCTATACCATAGTTTTGTTTAGTTTTGGCTTTTGGTTTTTCACTTCTGAAACAATGATTCTAATTGCTGCTCCTGCAGATCCCTTGCTGTCTATTAAGACAACAGAGGAGATAGTGGAGGAACTTCCTGATGCACAGACAGCAGGGGAAACAGGAAGTGGACAAAAAGAACAAGGTTTTGCTGAAGCACCAATGCCTTCCAAGATTGCCAGCTCTTCCAAGGAGAGAGAAAACAAATGGGATTTGAAAATAGTTGACACAGAGAAGAGAGGTAGAGTCTCCTGTTCAATGATTTAAAAATTGCTTCTTTTGTATATTCGTATTTTGTGTCTTGTAAGTTATGAGCAATTGGCACAGGTAAGATTTAATTTAGTGTGAAAAATCTAGATTTTGGAGTTATTATCAAATGAATATGTTCTTGTCACTCATCCTAGGCCAGGTCCATCTAATAAGCATGACAGTGCTGGACTGCTAGTTATTTGGGCATGATTTAAGTTTGTCTGAAAAACTTAGTGCCTTCTTGGGTGGGCTGATCTGAACATTCACCTAAGCTGGTTCAGCTGTCTTGAGTCACTCCAATTAAGCTATCTAAAGAGGTTAAGTGGACAGCCCAAAAAATGATTGACTAGCAGCCAATTTGGGCTCTCCGGATTTTTCACCAAACATAGCTTAAAGGCTGTCTGTGTAGGGCCCACTTTGGAAAGCCACAAGCTGCTGTACTTCAGCCTTCCCAAATAGATACTTAAAACAATATGCATTCAAAATCTGGACTGCACTTGTTACAATTTAGGGGACTTGGTCCAAAGTGTATTTGGCTATCAGAAATCCTAGTTATTTAGACATCTAGATCTCTCTCTCTCTCTCATGTAACTTGATTAATTCTTAGGGCTTAAGTTTTTCACTATTGCAGTTTGCAACTATGCCAAGGGTAGATGGGTCTCTGACAGAAAGCGGCCACTGTATTCTGGGTTTGGATGTAAGCAGTGGTTGTCTGAAATGTGGGCCTGTAGACTGACCCAGCGCACAGATTTTTCCTATGAAGGATTTAGCTGGCAGCCTGAAAATTGTGAGATGCCAGAATTTGAAGGATCAACATTCTTGAGAAGGTAGATACCTCCATTGTTCTGCTTGCATGACAATTTGCTTGGGTTCCAACCCAGGAAGAGCTGTTAAGCCTCCTCTCTCTCTCTCTCTCTCTCCCCTCCCCCCCCACACCCCCCCCTTATAGTGTAATTTTACAGTATCAGGATTTTATGATGATGTCTAGTGCTCTAATGGTGATCATGGTGAATCCAGGATGCGGGACAAGACTATTGCTTTTATAGGAGATTCATTAGGAAGGCAGCAATTCCAATCTCTTATGTGTATGGTTACAAGTGGTAAAGACGCACCGGAAGTTGAAGATGTTGGAGGAGAGTATGGTCTTTTCAAAGCACCAGGTTCTATTCGTCCTGATGGATGGGCTTATAAGTTCCCAAGCACAAATACCACCATATTGTATTACTGGTCTGCAAGCCTTTGTGACTTGGAACCCGTGAACATCACAGATCCAGCTACAGATTATGCCATGCACCTTGATAGACCTCCTGCTTTTATGCGCAGGAACCTTCACAGATTTGATGTCTTGGTTCTCAATACTGGACATCACTGGAACAGAGGGAAACTTCAGGCAAACCGGTGGGTGATGTATGTGGATGGTATGCCCAATAAAGATAGAAAACGTGCACAGATTGGTAATGCGAAGAATTTCACTATATATAGTGTTGTCAAATGGCTAGATACACAGCTTCCCCAGTATCCAAAGTTGAGAGCTTTTTTCAGGACCATCTCACCAAGGCATTTCTCTAATGGGGATTGGAATACTGGGGGTAGATGTGATAATACCACTCCATTGGCTGGAGGAAGTGAAGTTTCACAAGATGAATCTAGTGATCCTGTCGTGGATGGTGCTGTAAAGGGTACAAGGGTCAAGATTTTGGATATAACTGCCATTTCTCAGCTGAGAGATGAGGCCCACATATCCCGCTACAGTATTAAAGCCACAGAGGGTGTTAACGATTGCCTGCATTGGTGCCTACCTGGCATTCCTGACACCTGGAATGAACTCCTTTATGCACAAATATAGGCTCATCTCATAGGTTGCTTAATTGGTTAATGGGGCATCTTTTCTATGCTTGCAAACAAGACATCTCCAAGGGAGTACTCTGATTGAAGGACTTTATTTTCGTTCCTTCTAGGTTCTAACTTGTCGTTTTCTGCTATATCCTTGGATGCAACTTGCATCTCATGCCAATTGGTGAACAGAATGCACTTTCTGTAGTGCTATCTGACGCCCATTTTAGCAAGTAGTATTCTTGGAACATAAGTTTTGACTTCTTGGAGGTGGTATGCCTGACATTGCATGAATTGGGGAGTAACATGGAGGTATTGGATATGGGATCTGCAGATCGTATGAAGTACATTGATTTTTGCCTGCTAGTTTATGTAGCACGTTATCATCATTGAAGTACCGATGAAAGATAATTTGTGGCTTTTCATGCAGTGCAGGTGCTGTACATGTAAGTTCCCTAAATTTACTGTTCTTAATTCATTCAAAAATATCAGTACTTTCTTGAGTACCATTCTTTTAGAAGTACTTCGTGCATACATACTCTCCTGCAAGGCTGCAAGTCAATTGTAGCACCACTTATCATGTATTACTTATGAAATGATGGCTCCTTATCAGAAAAAAAAAGAGAAAAGAAGAAAAGTAGATACATGAACCAATTGGCAGAAAAGAAGAAAAGAAAAGAGAAGCATCCGAACTTGTGTGGCCTGCATTAGTGGGCTTCATACTATATCAAGGACTACGGCCTTATAACAGAACATGACACAGCCCGGAGAAAGTCGACATGGGTTGGCTCCAGAAATTATGTTTTGCTATTCCACTCTATCAAGGGCTACCTCCTTGGTTATAGTATCATTAGAACTATGTTATGGCCTTCCCCAATCTTTTCTAGAACCATCAGCGAACTGATGCAGTAAATGCTCTAAACCTCTCGCTACACATAGGAAACGCTTGATAACTAGTGAAGTGGCTGAAAGTTTAGTTCTTTGTTTTTTAGTGAATAAGTTCTTTTGGAGGTTGCTTTTTCCTTAATGGCTGAAGCTGAAGTTGAAGTTGGAAGAATATTATACACATGAATGTTTTATTGTTTATAATTTTATCTACTAAAAGACAAAGTAATAAGTTGTTCAATTCAACAATTTCAGCCGTTAACAAACAGCCCCTTCTCTATTGTCCCCATTTTCTTTCATATATTGGGGATTTTGTTAGATTCTCATGATTACAATCATTTTTAATCTTGCCACTGATCCATCTCAGTTGGGGAAAATTGGAGACTATGCAAATGTTAAAATTGATATTGATATTAATTTTTTTTTTCGCATCACAGGTGAGGGAGACCAAAGGGATCCATATGATCAATCATCTCTCATGTAGACCTGTCAAATTCACTTACTGAACCTCTGCCACATGCAAAATACAGAGGTGTCATATATAGGAGGTAATAGCTTTTCTTAAAAAAAAAGTTTAACTGATGACCTACTAGTTCAGTTGGTCACTCGGCATCCCTCTGAATAGGCAACCTGTGGAAAGGGAGTTCGGATGGGCTCCTGACAGAGTGCATCCCACCGGGAGTCTAGATCTGCTGACCACAACACATTGCTGGTGACACTCATCCAGTTGTACATCAGGAACCTTGATGATTAATAACCAATATTTCCAATGTGTGGCCAGCAATGTGTTGTGGTCAGCAGATCTGAACTCTCCCACAGGTGCCCCACAGCCTATCTTCCTGTGTATTGGGAACATCTCCTGTTCTTGTGGGGCACGCTGTGAGGATCCCATCATGTCTGGCGGAAAGGCAGGTTTTCAATATAGTCAGTGTGTCTGCAATCTGCATGTGTACCCTACCACCACTAACCTGCTATTCCCACTAATCGGGTCTAACATAAAGCATGTAGATGGTACGAATTTAGATATGCTCCCAATATTGTCCCAACTAATCATTACAGTCCGCACATCAAGAACATCTCCCCATGAATGATAAGGGAGATGTTCATATCATCTGCCAATAAAATACGTTCCAACACCCTCCTAACATCATTTCACACCACACATCTCATACATAATAAATCCCATTTTTGTGGTCAGTCCAGTTTCAAGGTGAGGTGTGCGGTGCCAGATATATTGGTAGGTTGTTGGAATGTGTTTTCTTGGCAAGAGAGATCCCAATTCGATGTTCGAGTTCCCATTGTGCAGCTTCAGTGGTCTGTTGGGACAATTTTAGTCTAACACTGCTCGGATGATCCTGGTTCTTTGTGCTAGCTCTTGAACATGTAGAGTGGGCTGTTCTAATGTTTTTCAGCTAAATCGGTACGACTAGTCAGCAGGTTGTGCGGCTCACATGCAAATTAAAAAAAAACAATTAGCATGAAAAATAAAGGTCAATTTAGCTCAAATCAAATTGACGAGGAGCCAAGTTGAATGGAGTCAATGGACTCGTGTCCTTTGCCCCGGCATATTTACTAACATGGAATCTTTGCCACATAAACTCAGTCTTTTGTACAAGTTGTAATTTGTAAACATTCAAATTCCACGAAGTGATTTAGGTGCTTTTCGCCAGAATGACAACCACCAATAAAAAAATAATTATTTTTCTAATACGACTGGGCTAGGCCTGGCTTGGGCCTAATGCTTTATATAGAGTTCAAATCTGCGCCCCACCGCCTCTCGCCCCACAAATGCCCCACACACCGAGCGTCCAACACCTCTCTATTCGTATGTGGTCAGCATTCCCTTGTGCGGGGCTAATGGGATGGCCGTTAGCTTATCCCGTTAGCCTCAAAACCCTCGTTTCTACATTCTCCCTTCCACCCGAGCTTGGATCCAATTCCTTCTCCGGTTACTTCACCTTGATCAGTTACTCTCCAACACTCATATTTTGTTTTTTCATTTTAAATCAAAGAAATTCCTGTTCTCTGATATTTTGTTTTCTCATTTCAAATCAGAGAAACCACTGGCGATCATTATGGCATGTCAATGTTGATCTTTTGTTTGTCGTCGCAACAAGTCTTCTTTGCTTTATTATTTTCTCTATGTTTTGGTTCTGATGTTGATTATGGGATTTTTTGGTTCACGTATTGGAGATGTATATTGTGATCGTCACTATTGCCGTGGAATTTGTTTTAAACCTCCTCATTTAGGTTTTATTCTGTATTCGTGTCTTTTGTTTGAATTTAGTGGATGAAACTTGGAAGAGTAGTTTGGCAAGAAACGCGGAAGAAGGAAATGGAGGTTTTATTTTTCTCCTTTTCTTTCCGTTCTTTTATTCCAATTCGAAGGATGAGTTGGGATTTAACTTCTTTTTTCATTGAATGAAATCCTTCTCTTATTGCTTTCACTCTAGTACTGTTGCTTACAGTGTGTTGTATCGCTGGTGTCAGAGAAAAAAGTCCTGTTGTTGGTAAGGTTCAAAGTATCGACACGTATCGGCCCATATCGACTGATATGTATCATTTCGGGACCCCTCCAATACGCCCCTACAATGGGTGTATTGGGGGTCTGACCGGTTCAGGGTGTGGAGGAGGCCTAAACCGGCTCCCCTGAACCAGTTGCGAAAAAAATAAAAAATAAGTACCAAAAGCTGTATCGATTTGCCCAATACACCGGTATCGATATTTTGAACCTTGGTTGCTGGTGGTTTCTCTGGTTTGAAATAAAAAAACAAAATATCAGAAAAAAAGAAAAAAAAAAGAAAAATGTGTGAAAGAGTGATGATATGAGAGATGGAGAGCACCTGTGACAATGATATGGCTGGATGATTGCCGGTGGTCACTGTAGATGGCTGGTGGTTTCTCTGATTTAAAATGAGAAAACAAAATATCAGAGAATAGGGGTTTCTCTGATTTGAAATGAAAAACAAAATAGCAAAACAAAATATGAGTGTTGGAGAATACCTGGTCAAGGTGAACTAGTTGGAGGGATCAGTTGAGGGGGTCAGGGGATGACTAGTTTAAGCACAAGAGGGATCTATTAAGAGGGCGGGAATGTAGAAATGAGGGTTTTGGGGCTAACGAGACAAGCTAACGGCCGTCCTGTTAGCCCCGCACACGGGAATGCTCACTGCGTGCGAATAGACAGGTGGTGGACGCTCAGAGTGTGGGGCGTTTGTGGGGCGAGAGGCAATGGGGCATAGATTTGAACTCCTTTATATATTGTTTGTGCATAATTATTTATATTATATTATTTTTTAGGACAAATTTCTTAAATTACCCTTATCGTTTAGCTAATTGAGTATGTCTTAAATCAACCCTACTATTTGATAATAGTTATCATCATTAAATTGTAATGAAAAGGATAAAATGTCCCTTTTACCCTTATGTTAAAAGAGAAAAACTGGGTGGCAATGAACTGAAATGGATGGTGGTGGCAATGAACAGAGATGACGTAGAGAGAGAGAAGAGGGGAAGAGAAGGATGGACGAAACCTTTTAGGTCCCTTAGACCACAGATCTGAGATCTCAAATCCAGTACGAACTCGGACTCCATGCGTGTCAACAATTGATTCTGGCGGACTCGGGTTCCATGCTCCTCCGGCGCCAACAATCGACTCTGGCGGTTAGATCTAGTACGAACTCAGTCTCATGCCGTTTCCTTCACTTCCCACACAATGGGTTCTCTCAAGCTTGACTTCGATCACCAATACCAGAACGACATTGAGAATTACATCAGTAATGACAAGAACAATGAAAGGGAAATTGCAGAAAGCCTCAAAAGAGACAACTTCAATAGCAAGGAATTCGCCACCGAGATTATTGAAGCCAAGAGCTGTTTTGACCTGATCAACGCAAAGATCACTTGTGCATTACCTTGATCACTACCTTTGATGGTGCATTTCAGCCATGATCACAACCAAAAACAAATATGAAGCTGGTGGCTCCATCTCTCGCGAGAAAGTCAAAGAAACCGTCGATCTCTTCGGTGGCTCCATCTGTTGCGGTTTATTCTTGCAGATCTGATAGCCATGTGAGCAATCTCATCGGGGTTTGGATCTGTCAGCAAAGAGTAGATCTGATGGCCATGTGAGAAAATCCTTGAGTTCCTTCAATATACGTTTCGACGCCATGAGAACCTCAGAGGAATCTGCATTCCATACCGTACTTCTGCATCCCATAGTATACTTCTGCATCCCACTAGTACATCCTTGGCTTTGGGGGCAAGATGAGCCATGAGAGCAGCGGCAATACTCGCATTGTTTTCTTCAATGAAACTGAAACTGATGGTGGGGTTAAATAAGAAGCAGAGTAATGATACCCACGAAAACCTCTTCAATTCCTCACTTTCTGGCTTTTTCAGAAAAAAAGCTGAGAAGCAAAAGAGATGCAAAAATATTATTTTTTTCGTTTCTCCTTTGTATCTGAATCTGCTCTTCTTCTTCTTCTTTAAACTCCAAAATGCTACAAGAAAGACCCAGATCTGATAGCCATGAATCTATGAGAAGATGACGATGACAGTGCAGATACGAGCGGTGATTCTTACCTGGCCTACAGAAGAGGGACGAGGTATGGGGTTGCACATAATTCTTCGAACCCGGTGGTAATTACTAAAATATGCCTAGGCTAGGTTTAAAGTTGATTTTTAAAATATCTTTAGAATTTTCCAAAATTCCTTAAAATCTTTAGGATCTTGTAATTCACTTTTTAAAATATCTTCAAATTCCTATAATCTAATTTTTAAAATAATCTAAATTCCCATAATTCTATTTCCAAAATATCTCATAAGGTATTTTTAATTGGTTGCTGGTGAGGAAAATTGGGAAATTCTCTTGATAGTGAGGAGGTACCTAACCCTAAACCCCTACAATGTTGCCATTTCTAACAACCCCAATAAAATGCGTAACTAGGGGTGAGCAAAAAAAAAAAAAAATCGAAAAATCAATCGAAACCGAATCGAAAAATCGGTTAACTGAACTGGTTGGTTCGGTTTCGGTTTGATATTCTTAAAAAACAAAAAATTTCGGTTCGGTTTCGATTAACCTTGTACAAAAACCAGCGGTTAACCGAACCAACCGGTATATCTATACAACAGTATATTGTATAATGTATATATATATATATATATATATATATATATATATTTTTTTTTAAATTGAGTAAACCTTACCTAGCACGCGTCTGACGTCTATCACTCTATTCACCGGCCTTTTCAAGGCTATTTAAACTTTAATCCAATAGCATGTAGGCAACGATCTTCAAGGATCTTTAATCAAAATTCGAAAGCCCTTTTAATTTAAAGTGTCCACCTAGCGCCTTTTCAGTTTTCCCCCTTTCCTAATTTCCCACTTTTGACTTTCCCCTTTTTGGAAACCTAAACCAATAAAGGTAATAGGCAGTAGTCACTAATCCTTGGCTTTCTCACTCTCTCAATTTCTCGTCTCTTGACTCTCTTCGTCTTCCCTAATCCCCAGTTTTTCCTCTGGTGTCGGTTGTCCTTCGACTGATGGCCTCTTAAGTCTCACTTAGTGGCCAATTTTCCTCTTGCTTTGGTGCTTCCTTCTACCTCTTTCTCTCTCTGTCGCTTGTCATCTCTGTCTCCACTGCGCCAACCATCAAGCAGAGAATTACGCAGCCACGTAGCAACACCGGTCGCCGCCTCGCCAACAACCACCAAGCTAGCTTAGCCGCCTCAACTCTGTCAGGACCGCCACCTCCCAGGCTCAGTCTCTGTCTCCCTCATCTCTCATCTCTCTTTTTTTCTTAATTTTGAGTGCAAAAAAAAAATGAAAAATCGAATTGCGGTTAACCAGCCCACCACCGGTTAATCGGTTACATAGGTTCGGTTTTGATTTAGATTTAAAAAAAACCGATCAAGTCGGTTCAGTTAAAAAAAAAACCCCACGGTTCGATTAACCGAACTGTGAGCACCCCCCTATGTGTAACATACCAACGTTTGAAATAAATGATCAGTTTTCCCATTTTCGAGGTTTAAAATCCCATTCACAGTTCATAATGTCTTGCCATCATATCTGTTAACATTAATATTAAGGGAGAATGATGGTTCAGCCTAGGGTCAGAATTTTTAAGCCTAAAGTACCGTTGGAGTAGATGGCCATGCATGAGGTTTAAAACCTCGAAAATGGGGTAGATGGCCATCATAATGGATATGGTGGCCAGACATTGTGAAGTGTGCATGGGGTTTTAAACCTCAAAAATGGGAAAACTCATGATTATATTATAAATGACCCGACAGATGGCCTCATGCATGCTTGCGAATTTAAATTCGAATTGTCTTTCATGAAAAGTTCAATGGACACAAACTCTTGTTGGGAAAATGCAAACACAGTGGGAATACAAAAAAAATTGAATTATAAGTGTTTTAAGGATTGTCTATTGAGTGATAGCGTATGTGCTCATGGGTCCATGCACGAGTTCTAAACATATTAACTCTAAGCCCAATCCTCTCAAGAGACCAAATCCCGTGGACTCTCCTAGATAATGTTCTTAACTAGGAGAACCCTTCTCCTCATCTAGGATAAACTCTCCTAGATAACTCTCATCTAACCTGGATAATGTAAAACTCTTCTATTCTTATCTCTTGTAATCCTAATGTAAATTGAACACTTTATAAATAGAATGACTCTCGACTCTACTAAAGTAAGGTTAGCTGATTTATTTTATTACTTTCTCTCTACTATTCTTTGTTATCCTCCTTTATTGTTATTATTATTATTTTTCTTGTTGCTTTAACTTGGTATCAGAGCCAATGTTGACCGAAACCGGAGCACACGACAGCATTCCAACTCTCTCCGACTATGGTCATACATCAACGACCTCCCTTTGATCCAAAACGTCACTCATTATTTACCTATCAAACTTGGTAGTGACAACTACCTATTATGGCGTGCCCAGTTCCTTCCTATTCTACGACATCACCATCTCATGGATTTTGTTGAAGAGAAGAAGAAGCCTCTGCCTAAAGTTATTCCAGATCCAGATGGTACGAGAACAATCATCAACCCAGAATTCGAAAAGTGGACAGACATAGACCAACTTGTGTTGAGCTGGTTGATCTCCTCTTATAGAAGGTGTTATGGCTCAAGTGGTATAGGCTTGTCAACAGCAGCTGAGGTATGGACTTCACTTGCTCATAGTTACTCTACTCATTCTCGATCCAGAATTCTGTAGCTGCGACAACAAATGCAAAGTCTCAAAAAGGGGTCACTTTCTATTTCTGCTTATATTCAGCGTGCTAAGTCCATTGTTGATAGCTTATAAATAGTTGCTGAATCTGTTCTCAAATTAGAACTTGTTCTCTACAATCTTGCTGGACTAGGGAGTGAGTACGAATTTGTAGTTACTACACTCACCAACCTACCTGCTGTAGCTGATCTTGGCATTGTGGACATTATGGGAGCTCTCCTTAATCATGAGAGTTGTCTTGAAGAATAGTTCCACGTCTCAAATCCTCGGAATGCCAACTTTGCCAATATTACTTCCAAGAACAAAGGTAACCCTTAAAAACCTCCACAACAATTTTCTCTGGCATTCAATAATAATAGAGGTAGAGGACGAGGTCATGGATCTCCCTACTACAATCATCAATCTTTTTCAAATCAATCTCAACAATTTTTTGGAGGTCGTGGAGGTAAGAGCAACATAATTTGTCAAATTTGTAATAAAGTTGGACATAGTGCTCTTCAATGTCATCGTGCAAAATATGCTTTTGGTTTTGCTAATGATAACACATAAGTACCCCTTAATATCAGAACTCTTATAGTGAAAATAATTTCGACCCCGAAATCAGACTGAGTATATTGGGTCAAATCAAGTCAAGGTCGGAAACGATTAAGGTTTACACATTCGACATACTGGATCATCCTTATGTTGTTTAATCAACATGCTTTTTCTTTGAAAGATATCTACCATGTTCATTCTATCTACAAAAATTTATTATTTGTTAGTCGATTTACAAAGGACAATGATTTATTTTTTGAGTTTCACCATAATTGCTGTTATATGAAGAATTATCCGGGGAGAATCCTACTTCGAGGGGTCAGTAGAGACGACTTATATAACTTCCCTTCTTTAGTCACCACAAAACTGGAAGGTCTCATTGGGAAATGCACGCCTATCCACGGATGGCACCTTCGACTTGGTCATGAAGCTCTACGCATTGTATGACAAGTTGTTTTAGAATTTGGTCTTCCTTTTGATAGGTCTACAACTAGTCAGTCAATTTGTGAGTCATGTCAAATGGGTAAGAGTCATAGGGTGTCTTTACATTCTTCCAGTTCTAAGTCCAAGCGTCCTTTAGATTTAATTTTTTCTGATGTATGGGGACCAATTCTCGTTAAGTCAAATGATGGATAATCGTATTATGTTAATTTTATGAATGATTTTTCAAAACTTTATTGGATATATCCTATGGCTTGAAAGTTAGATGTATTTGATTTATTTCTTAAGTTTAAGAGGCATGTTGAAGTTCTCTTTGATACTAAGATCAAAGCCTTTCAATCTGATTGGGGTGGCAAATATTGTCACTTATCCAAGTATCTCAACTCTCAAGGAATCACTCATTGACTTACCTGCCTACACACTCATGAACAGAATGGGTCTATTGAATGGAAGCACCATCACATTATTGAATTAGCCTTGTCTCTACTGGCCACCTCAAAACTCCCCTTCTCCTTCTGGGCTGATGCGATTGAAACTGCGGTTTTTCTAATCAATTGGTTGCCTACTACGATTCTCAATGGTATGTCCTCTTATGAGAAGCTCTTTCATACTAGTCCTGATTATTCCATGTTTCACTGGTTTGGATGCGTTTGCTATCCTTTCTTGCAGCCATACAACATGAATAAGTTCATGTTTCGATCTCTCTGATGTATCTTTATTGGTTATAGTAGCTCTCATAAAGGATATAGGTGTCTTCATGTTCCTACAGGGCGTACGTTCATTGCTCGCCATGTCGTGTTAGACGAGAGACTTTTACAGGAATTGACAGTCCCGCATCCAGCCCTACCACTACTTCTTTTGGTGTGTACATTTCTGCACTAACCTCACGGCATCCAGAATCTGTACCAACCTCACAACATCACTCCTCTGCTGATCCTCCCATAGTAAGCTCTAGTTCGGCTCCAGTAGTTCTAGAATAGACCCCTTCACCTTCATCAGCTAGTTCTATTCCCAGTACCTCACCTACATTTAATCGACCACCACGGTATCAAAGTATTTAGGAGTTGTTGGATCACACCGAACCTGTGCTGCCACTTGTACGCTCTCACTCTATGCGTACTAGATCTATGGATGATACTTTTCCACGCTCTCACTCAGCCACAAGGTACCCCATACCCTCTTCTCTTCTTACTCTTCTCTCTAATGAAGAACGAGAACCAAAATCCTTTTCCC